GAATGCAAGGATGGTAAAAAGTTCGGGGTGTCGTGAGGTCAATGCTAAGATTGTAACTATCAGGTACCCATTGTGGAGTACAGGAAGTTTAGCGGGAAGGCGCTTATCACAGAGTATTATAAGGCTTACAGAAATGTCAGGGGGGTTGAGAAAGCAGAGTCCAGCTTGAGCTTGCAAGAGCAACCTCTGCCTCCTGTCCTAGAAACTGTGCTGCTGGGGTAGCTGCTATCTCATCAATAATCTTGCAACCAGGAAGCTGCCCCCTCAGGAGCCACCACACTGCTGTTTCAAACAGGAAACCATGACAATCAGGAAGCTGCTACTGCTGCCAGTTATAGAACCACTGGGAATCTGCAACAGACCACGTCAGCAGAATGGATGTTCCTGTCCCTCCACCCAGAAGCGCCCTACCTGCTAAGTCAGTGTCTGAATGCGGGAACCTCTGCAAAAGTAGCTGCAGAGAAGCCAAGTGCCTTCCGAGATGGGCTTGAGGTGGAAGGGACGAGCATAGCACAATTGGGTCCACCACAGACAAAGCTATTCTAGAGCAACAGTTGCCAACCTTTAGGACCACTGCTATTCTAGAGCCCACGCTGCAAGAGAATAAGGAGAGTATATCTTTAGTTTTCCAACTTCTGGAGTAGAGAAGGTTTTGCTAGAACAGTGTTTTGTAAACTGTGAGTTGTGACTCACGAAAGCATTGTCAGATCAATTCAGAGGGTCACAAGACTCTTTTTCTTAGTCACGAGTAGAAAAAGCAACGATTAATGTAATGAAACTTCTGTCTGAGGTGTGTGTGTGTGTGTGTGTGTGTGTGTGTGTACACATCAATATCTGCAAAGTAGAACATTCTTCCCTCTGGATCGTGATAAAAAACAAAACTAAACCCTCAAAAGCCACTGCACTGGACGCCGAGTTCCAATCTTTCATTGCAGGGTCTTAGAGAGAACTACCTGACAGACCCCAGAGTCTATTGAATATGTAGGGTTGGGTTTTAAGAGAAAGTCAAAGCTGGGTATGTGGATTATATAGTCACTGGCAAGAAGATGGCATTTGAAGCCCTGGGAATTAAGTGACCCAGAGAGATGGTATGAAGTGTCAAGGGAAGGAGGTCTGGACCAGACCCCAGGGAGCACAGACATTTCATCTCGGGGCAGGAATTTTCTCCTGGGGTGTGCTGGTCCTGCCTGCACTCTGACACTTTTCACATGCTCTCCAGAAAGAGCTGGATCCGGGTGAGCCCCAGAGTGCTGGAAAGGTGTGTACCAAACCCATGTGAACTAGAGCTGATTTGGCAACTGCCTGGCAGAGCCATGGCTCACACCACACTGGCACCGGCATGGGACCAGGCACTGGCATGGACCAGAGTACTGGAAAGGTGTGTTCTAAACACACACAAACTAGAGCTGATTTGGCAGCTGCCTGGCAGAGCCATGGCACACACCACACTGGATCATAAGCCGGCACTGGCATGGGACCAGGCACCACACTGGAACCCTGACGTATGTAGGATGAATGCACAGAGCAGAGACATTCTCAGAAAGGTGTAAAGAGTTCCTCTGATTCCAACCTTCAGGAGCTGGGACCCAGAGGGGGCGAATCTCACCAGCCAAGGTTGACTCAGTAGCTCTGGGCTACTGTAGCAGCCTCCTTGTCTGTGGTTCAAGGTTTCCTGCTTTCACTTACCCACAGTCAACTGTGGTCTGAAATATTAAATGGGAAGTTCCAGAAATGAGCAATTCATCCGTGTTAAGTAGTAGGCTGTTCTGAGGAGTAGGATGAAATCTTACACTATCCAGCTCCATCCCACCAGGGACATGACTCATCCCTTTGTCTACCGTAGCCACACTCTACACGCTCCCTGCCTGTTACTCACTCGGTAGCTGTCTTGATTATCAAATTGACTGTTGCAGTATACAGTGCTTGTGCTCTAGTCTCCCTTATTTCACTTCACTTCACAGTGGTCCCCAAGCACAAGAACAGTGAGGCTGGCAATTGAGATATTCTAAAGAGAAGCCAGAAAAGGCTATTCTTTTGTTTTTATTTTTGTTTTTTAGAAAAAAAAAAAAAAAACACCAGAAAAGTTAAGTATGCATATGAAAACCCTTACACACAATACATATAGAGTTTGGTATGCTATGATTTCAGGCATTTACTGGGGGTCTTGGAACGTATTACTTGTGGGTAAAGGAGGAACCGCTGTATTTATAATTTTAAAGAGTATTTTGTTGTATAGAAAACTGGCAATAAGGGGTGGGAGCTGTTCGGGAGGTGGACTTTATTGCAGCTAACTCAGGAAACAAATTGAGTGTGCTTCCATAGGAAAATGGGCAAACTGTGTGTATAGTTAAACAAGGAAATACCAGTAGATGGCAGTTAAATGAATGAGTTCGATCTACATGTATCAGTCTACATGAATCTCAAAAACCTAAAGTTATGTGGAAAAAACTCAAGCACAAAATGTTATATAAAGTATGATATTGTTTATTGAGGTGTTAAAATCCACACAAAATTCTCTTATATAGTTTAATGGGATAACAAGTATACATTTATTTAAGTGAAGAGACACACACAAACTTCTAAGCAAGGGCTGTTCTCTGGGGAGAGTGTAGGGACATGGATAGAGGATTGAGATTTTAGCTCTATATGGATTATTTTCTTTTTAAACAGAAGCAGAGACATATAGCAAAATATTAATAGTTATTAAATTAGCTGGTGATGCAGGGGAGAAATATTATTTTCTGTTCTTTTTATAATTAAAAAATAATTACAAATGAATATACATTTTGTAATGCCCAGAGCAAGAATTAGACTTCTTCTTCTGACCTCTGATTAAGCAGATTATCTTTAAAACAATTATTAGGGAAAAGTATACACACACATACTACATGTATATATAACACACAAATGTATAATGCATGTATGTGCACACACATATGTATACACATATGTATACACATATGTGTACACATATATGCATATGCACATATACACATATTTAAACAAACTTTTTTATTGGAAAAATACTGGCTTACATATTTTTTCACTTTCCGAGAAAACTTTATATCATAGGACTCTAACCGTTTTCTGGATTTGGCACATATTGAATCTAGAGACGATCTGTGTCTCACATTAGAATGATCATCCAGCAGTGACTGGAGTGGTAGAGACAGACAGGAGCAGCTCTGGACACTGGCTGCTCCAATGCAGGGCTCCAAAGCTGTGACCTGAGGACTTACAGAAAGGCTGCCCAGCTGGGTGTGGTTCAGTGGTTGAGCATCAACCCAGGAAGCAGGATCACCGGTTTAATTCCGCGTCAGGGCATATGCCTGGGTTGTGTCTCCATCCCCAGTAGGGAGCAAGTAGGAGGTAGCCAATCAATGATTTTCTCTCATTGATTTTTTTTCTCTCTCCCTCTCCCTTCCTCTCTGAAAAAAAAAAAAAGTCTGTGGAAGGGGACCAATAAAGCTGGACTCCAATCCTGGCTTTGCTACTGATTATATGTAAGGACTTGACAAGCTCCTGGGCTTCCTTTCAAACATTGGCTCTGCTGATCTCTCGGGATCTTTCCAGAGATTCACAAATGACTACTGTATCTTCTTGACTGAAGGCTCTGGCCTTATGTCAGAATAATCAATGGTATGAATTATCCCAAGGGCAGCAATATAGTTAGTCTTCATTGACTTGTTACTTTTTCATCAACTCATCCTCTACAAATTTTACAAGTATTGTGTGTGTGTGTGTGTGTGTGTATTGGAGAGTGAAGGAAAGAGCAGTTGAGTTTTTACCAAAGAGATATAATGTTTCAGGTAGCCTGAATTCCCAGTTACAAAAAACATGTATTTTATTTGCATATATTGTGCCATCTGCTCATAATATTCTCAGGGGTTTGGTTAGCCCTTAGAGAGTAACAGAATTTAGTTTTAAACTTCTTAGGCTGTCCCCCTTACACATCAGGTGAATTACTAAATATTATTTTTTTTATTGTTTTGTCTTACTACAAGATTCCTTTTAAGCTTTGCTCCCCATGTCTTCAGGTGTTGGCTCCCAGAGTATTGCTTGATAGAGACTGATATTGGGAATCACTCATAATGTCCAAGTCAGGCATCTCTTCTCAGAGGATGGTTGGTGAAAAGTGCAAATGGAATCTTTCTTGAATTGGAATATGAAACAGTAAAAATTTGCTTAGTTGACACATGCTTAGGTTGCAGATACCTTTCCAGAAATGCATGAATGACTTGGTTTAAAGCATGATTTATTTGTCCTACAGAGTTAGGGTAGAACTCAAATTTCAAGAGGCCTCTTTATTCTCTAGTTTTGGGCTCCCAAAACCTGTCCGTGTTTGTTATCACATGCCTCTTGTTTTGCTGAGTGCAACACCTCTTCCAGTGCATCCTGCTCCCTAATAATCCACTCACAGAATCGTTTAAGAGAAATGTAGACTTTTACTGATTATTTCACTGACCTAGGAGGAGTCAACAGAGCATGCTGTTCAGCAAAGGACTTAAAATTTCCCTTTAGTCATTTCTCTTCTCCCAAGTTGTTCTAATCCATATCACCCCTGCTGATTTTTCCCTTCTTTTAGATCTTTTCTAATCTTTGACAAACTTTCCTGAATTTCAACATCTTTCTTTTTTCTCTTCCTTCTTGAGAAACATGCAAACTTTGTTTCATTCTTTTGTGTAGCAGTTAAGTGCCCCTTTTCTTTCTGAGGAATAACTTCAACGGCTTACACTTAAAGTCCAATGGTACTTTCAAATAATAAGATGCTGCTTCAGAGATTATAGACAATTGTAAGGGTTGATGGAGCTAAAGAATCTCCTGGTTATCCAAATAAGGAGACAAGATTGCCATTGTTCAGAGAAGTCCTTTTTGCCATTTCCAAGGTTGTCATTGTCTATCAACAACTTTGTGGGGCTTTAAAAGCTCCCACATACATTATTTTCTGAGACGTGTTTGAAGCAGGGAGCAGGATGAGATCATGTGGAAGATGGCAGCACCTATGCCATAGCCAAATGATCGCATTTCCTGACCATTGCACGCTGATTTGAGAGTGTGCTAAAGGCATAGCACTTTCCTGACAGGAAACAGAAACTGTCTGTTGTTGAGTTCTTGTCCATCTTAACCAGAATGAAGTCAAGCCTGGTCAGATGGTTTCCCAAATATCCACAAGGCCTCTTTGGGTCTGGGTGGTCAGTTTGGCAGTCCTTTCTTTTATGTATTTTTAGGTCCAACAGTTCACACCATTTGGCAGGTGCCCCAAACCTTGTCTCCAAATCCTGACTCTGCTGAGGTGGCATGCAGCCAGATGCTGCAGTATCATTGGTTTCACACTGTAGAGGGCCTTCCCTTTAGTTGTGGGCTTCCAGAACGCTGTCTGAAATCTTAGTTCCCAGGTCTATGATGAGAGAGGCTGGTCTTCTGAGATGGAGGACTTTGGAGAGATTCAAATACAGCCTCTTCATTTTTCATACGTGGATCCTGAGTTCCAATGCGGGGAAAGGAGTAGGTCCAGGCCATACAGTGAGTTAGTGGTTGGGGCATACATCCATTCCTTCTGATTCTCTTTGGGGACTCTGTCCACCACACTACATTCTTCCCTGCCTTCTCTCTGAAAGATGCATCACTCAAACACTCTCTCTCTCTCTCTCTCTCTCTCTCTCTCTCTCTCTCTCTCTCTCTCATTCTCTCATCCCTGGAGCTGTATCTTCCCAAGAGTCAGAAGGAGAAACATACTATGTAATACCCTTTGTGGTTTCAGTGTTGGTCTAGTTTCCTTTTTGCTCAAGTGTTTGGATGGATGAGGTGCTATATGGTAGAGGCCAGGAGAAAGGGTTCACTCTGAACTACTGTATAAGAAGATGGACAGTACATTCTCAAGAGGAAAGGTATTTGTATCCACATACTGGAACTTATCCACCTTGACTGAGATGGTGGTATTGACCTGGAGGTGCTCCAGCAGGAACTGAGAGAGGTTCTGGTATATGTTTTTGGTTTGCACTCCAGACTCGCATACTGTCACCAAAGTCTGCCTTTTGATATTTTGGTTGATAAGTAGCTCCAATGTTAGGTCAACAGAATGTTCCGGGCATTCCACCAGAAACTGCAGTTGGCAAATAATGAAGTACCAACCTGGGAACTGGATCACCAGGTTTCCATCCTGATATCTGAGTCCATGGACAATGCCATCTTGGTTCCAAGACAACTTGGTTTTGTTTAAGTGTTTTGACACTGGAAAGAGAAGGAAAAACAAAATCAGATTTTTTTTTTTTTTTTGGCAGAATGCAGGTACAGATGGGAAAATTTGAAGCCGTTATTCAAAGTTCCCCCTTTAAGATTCCTGTCTTCTATAATATTATCTGCTGTCCTAGCCATCCAGAATATCTTTTGTGTTACTCTTTCTAGGTGCTACTTAATATTAAGGCACAGCTACAAAACTGCCCCTCTTCCCTTTTTCCAATGCCAAAGCTGAGGGTTTGAACACACATGGTGTTGGGCCTCTACCTCATACAGAATTGTTTTCCACTTATTACATTATTCTGTTATAATTATTATCTTGGCCTTTTCAGACTATAAGCTCCTGTGCTGTATTCCTCACAAGTTCTGGACTATCATGCTCATTTAAAAAAAATATTTTTTTTAATTGATTTTAGAGAGGAAGGAAGAGGGAGAGAGAGTTAGAAATATCAATGATGAGAGAGAATCGTTGATTGGCTGCCCCCACTGTGGACCAAATTTGCAACTTAGGTATGCGTCCTTGGCTGGAATCGAACTCTGGAGCCTTCAGTCTGCAGGCTGATGCTCTATCCACTGAGCCAAACCAGCCAGGGCTCATGTTCATTTTTTCAATCAATAAATGTTTCATCAATGTGAGGACTTAATGTTTGGGTGGCATTGCACAAAATATCAGAAATAGGACATTTATTTGTGTTCAGTTAATAACCAATTTAGGCATCAAGATGGCCAGGATAATCTTAGTCTATTTGCTTTCACAGTAAGATTCATCCTTTAACCATTCGTTGTTTAAATTTCTCTTTGAAAGGGCAGCCGAACATGACTGTGTAGACTCTTTACATGTAGGCACTTTAAGGGGCTCTTCCCAGCTGGGCCGTGTAGAAAAGCAGAGCATTAGCAGATCTTTTAAGCCAACATGTTCATGTCAGAAGCCAAGGCTTTCTGAGCCCTAACAAGTGAACATCAGCCCTGATCGATCAGGGTGCCTTTCAGAGCTGGGAAGCTGGTATGTTCATTTTAATTGCCTCTATGACTTCTTCCTTTTAAGCCTCATTGCAATTCAATTGAAAAGTGCAAACTAATTTAACTGCAAAATTGAATTTCTAAAATGAGTAGAAGGGCTATTCAGAGAATCCTGAGTATCTTTTCCAGATCTCATTTTTCCTGGTGTAAGTAGTTCTCATTATTTCATTTAGAAGGGGCCTTTTCCGTTGCTGCAATATGCAAACAGGCTCTGTGCCGACATGTTCATTAAGCTGTCAATCTGGGGACAGGGCAGTTTTGTGGTCCCCTTGGGAATAACTTGATTGAGGCAGAGCTTAAAAGCCTGCTTCTCTTGTATGAGGAAAAGCACTATGCACGTGGCCTGCAACTTGTAGGTGGCAGAATAGAGAGGTGGTGGAGTTGAAGCCCAGATGCCTTCAGGGGCATGTAGGCAAAGGGAAGGAGAGAATGGGGCTGAGGAAAGGGGAGCTTTGTAGTTTTAGAGTAACTTTCTTCTCTTTCCCCATAAGGAATTTTAATTCAAATGATTAAAAAAAATACCTTATAGGCTAAGCAGAATATATCTGCAGGTCACTTTCACCTTGGGCCTCTACTTATGGCCTCTGGCTTAGACGTTTCAGGAAAGCCACAGGAAGTGGCCCTTGGGTGGTTGGAGCCCCAGGGTTTGGTTACTGACCTTGGAGGTAGGCCCATGACTTCTTGAAAGGAGCCCTTTGCAGGATACATAAGATGTCCTCTGAGCAATCTCCTAAAAATGAAAGCACACGTGAACTGTCTTTCTCTGCTCTGGGAACTGGAGACACCTTACCATTTTTTTGTGATCCTTTGATGGAGACAGTTACCATTCTGTTTCCATTTGGGTAAAGGAAATCTGTGTATTTCTCATTTTGCCATCAGATACCTTAGATTTTAAAAAGTTGACTGCTTCCCCTTGGGCTTTTACAAAAGACCTTGGAAGTTGGGGAACAAAAACATATATGACCTGGGTTCCTATGTATACCATGTGCCATTCCTGTATGATTACCTATCTCATCTCACTTCATCTTTGGGAAAACTCCATGGGAGAGGTATTAAGTCCTTTTGATAGAGAGAAAAAGCCTAGGGACCAGATAGTACCTTGTCCCAGGTCACTCAGCCAGTGGGGGCAGTCAGGACACTATATGGATGGAAATTGTTGCTCTCCTTCCCATAAGAGAGCACCAAACACTAGATGGGGTACCTGTACATATTTCAGCTCATGTAATTCTCAGAATAACTCTGCAAGGTTAATCCTGATGCCTAGACATGGTCACTGGTACAAGATCAAGCAGGTTTGCAGAAATGCTGAGATTCACCTCCAAGTCTACAAGGTTCCAGAAGTTAGGGTTCCTTCTTGAGGCTGTTTTGTTAGACAGTGGGAATAAACACTTATGCTTAATTTTGAGAGGATATAGGATCAAGATAAACACATCATTGTGCTCAATTTTAAGAGGATATAAGATCAAAGCGTTCTAAGCAGGGAGCCTGCTATCATAAGTTCCCTTGGAAGGTGAAAAAAGACAATGTTTATGTCATTATGGTATTTAAGATATAAAAATATTTTAAATATATACATTGGTGATGGTGATTTAGCTTATTATTATAGTAATTCTTTGTATGTAGAGAACCAAGTTACACATTTCCTGCAGTGCCTCATGAATTAACTTCCCTTTCATCTTTGGGCCTTGGTTTCCCAGTTGTAAAACTAGTAGATCTTTAACCAGACACTGACAGCTTTTGGATGATGTCATCACAAATGACTATTCATTCCATACATCAGACACCAGGCAGCCAGGAGCCGATTCAATTGAAGTCACCTTAGCCATGCATTTGCTTATTGGTCTCTGAACAGTACTCAGGCTCAGTCTTCCTCACCGCCCTCTCTTCCCAGCGAGAAAAATCTCTCCTGGTTCTTCACCGCACTGGGCTTGGAAAGGTTGAACGTTAAGTGGAGAGTTCCCTCTGCTGTCTGAACAGGTTTGCTGTTAGAGGCCCCTTCAGCAGAAGCAGAGGGTGGGTGGGTTCATCCTTATCTGTCCTCAACCCTTAAAAAGGCTCTGCAGGATCAGGGCCACACTCCTTCACATGGCATCCATGCTCCCTGGGTTCTCATCCCTCATCTTCTGTCCTAATTAATAATAATAGTAGCAATAGTAGTGCTAGTACTGCTAATAATAGCTTATATTTCTATGACCCTTTCCTCTGCCTATCTTCCTCCATTGAACTGTAAAGAGACTATTGTTCATACATTCTCCACTGCCCAGCCCAGAAGATGCTCCACAGATGTTTGTTGAATTGAATCATCCAGTTCTTCCTTCCCTCTGTGAAAGTCAGCTAAGTGCTCAAGGTATGAGTGAGGAGAATGGAATGCTTGGCTTCCTTTTGCTCTCTGGGTTGAGATAACACGCAGGATCATTCTCCCATTGGTCCTGAGGGTTCAGTTAGGTTATATGAGAGGATGACTAATGCCCTAGACTGAGGCCAACATATCCCAGTGAGGACAGACTTTGCTCATAGGCCAGAGGCCCCCCACAGCACACCACCTCAGGTGAGCTTCTGTAGGCAGATGACTGCAGAAGTACAAGCCTGGGCTTGCCTCTCACACATGCAACTGCTTTTGTTCTTTCCCCTTTGCTCTTTGCATGTTTAGTGGGTTGACCTCAGTTGTAATTCTGAGAAACCCAAGGATGGAAAAACACACATCTTATTTTGAAACATTTGCATTTCCTGAAGTCAAATGGCATGGTGTATTTTAATTGTTTTTAAAGAGCCTTTTAGATGGTTTCAAGTGAAAGGAAAAACATGGGCAAGCCCCCATGACAGGGATAAGGAAAAGGGGCTGGGACTCAGTATGCTGGAGGAGTTGCAGATGGAATGAATGGGTGGCTGAACCTGGAGAGGAGCCCAGAGGTTCCTTTGCCACCTGATGAGGAGGCTGTCAGCAGGAAGACGGCGCACTTGCTCTGTGCAGCCCACACGCTGAGGCTCCAAGTGTACATTTAAGGAGATGACACACTCAGCTAATGGCCAACACGCTCATTTCTCAGGTGAGGCAGTGAGAAGACCTCTTCTGAGGACACACAAACCACATTGGAAGTTATAGTACTGGTACCTCAAATATTTGACCAGTTGATGCCATTCAAAGAGGCACTCAGTAGCTTTACAGGATCTTGGGGCTCTTGCCAAGAGCTGGGTGAACTTTTTATGTGGCTCATGTCTCCTCATCACCCTGGGGCACAATGATCTGACTTTCTTTTTTGGTTATGAAGATGGGAAAGAGTGGCTTGTGAATAGCTACATACAGTTGGAATAGCTACATACTTATTACATACAGTTGGAATCCTGTCATGTCCCTGGAATCTGTGATGCTGGGAGCATAGGGAGCAGCACACTCCCTGTCTCATTCATTTCCCAGATGAATGTCAAGTCTGGGGATACGGGTTAGTTTGAAGAGCTGAAGACTTACATGGGGAAAATGAGAACCTTCTGTAAGTCATGGTTGAGTTGAGGACCTGGGAGTTTCCCCTCTTTGGGCTCTCATGTCCCTAGCTAGGTGAAGAGCAGTGTGGATTTGATGATCTAGAAAGGCCCTTCTGGCCTGTTCTAGTAGGCTGTATAGACTCACTGTACACTTTCAGGCCTGTTACAGGGGGGAAGTTAGTCCCAGCCCCACCTATCTGCCAAGACTGGACCCCACCTTGAGGTCTTATAAGGTTAGGCCTGAAGAGGCCATTAGATGCCAAGTTAACCGTGATCCTAGTCCTATGAGTGGGGATACTGAACCCAAAAGTATGGCCAAGATCCCGTAGTAGGTCAGGAACAGAGCTGGGCTCAGAACACTCCTAATCTAAGGCTCTGTTCCTATTGTTTGGTCTTCCCATGGAGCAGGGAAGAAGTGGGTTTGCAGCCACCATAAACCCGGGATGAATAATAACAGGACAACTGGAGGTGCTAAGAAAACAAATCTCTGGGCTCCCTCTTGTGGGAGAATACCAGAAGGTGACTCCAGGCCCATGTGCCGAATCCTTACAAGTCATCTGTCAGGACAGTTAGGCTAACAGTAAGATGCACAATGCCCAGGGTGGCAAAACAAGCCACATTAACCACTGCAGCCAGGTGGTCTGTGTGCCAGGCACTGTCCAGGTTATTGGAATGACACAGACACAGTGCATCTCAGAACAAGCCCCTGGGTTCTGGTCAAGGCTTTTAGCTTCAGACCTGTCACTTCTTCTAACTGACCCTCAGTTTCTGCATCTATAACAGTGGGGATAATAGTCAACCCAAATGAATGGATGTAGTGATGATGCAATGAGATCATGGATGTCCAATGGCCTATGCGGAATGTGACATAGAGGAGATAGCCAGCAAGTGGTAGTTTCTTCCTCCCAGACTCCTCTTTTCCTAACAGTACTGCTTAGCAGAGCGGTCTGGCTGATGAAGTGCTCATTAAAGCACAGATCATGACATTACCTGATGGATCAGAGTTTCTCAATTATGTATATAAGTGTTTGAGGCCATCTCACACTTCTGGAAAAGTGTGCAGAATCCTCCTTCCATTTGATGAAAATATTTAATCCTCCCAGGAAGGAGAGCAGTTATTCTGAAACCTCTACGTCTGGTTGTTTCTTCCATCCGCCTGGGAGCATGGCCAGGAGAGTCCCAACAGTAACATCTATGGGACAGTCTCTCCAGTATCAGTAGGAGTTGGAATCCAAGTTCATCCTCAACTGGCTTTAACTTAACTGTTTTCTTGATGCCACTAGGCCCACTAGTGATGGAGAAACTCCCTGGTAGTGACCTTTGATTTACAAACAGCATTTCTGGGGACTACTCACACTGACATGTTCAGTGTTAAACACATAAAAAGTGACCAGTGGTACAAACTGAGATCAAGGTGCAACTCATTTGAATCCTTGAAGGTTCCTTAGGATGTTGGGGGTTTTCAATCTTGACCTGTTGCAGTATGTAAGATAAACCTATCTGACCCTATGGGTATTTTCTTGAAATTTGCTTCTACTAAATGCAGGTTGAGTTGATATCATTGGGGGCATTTAAGAAGCACTTTTAAAGTCTATAAGCTAAAAGGCAAAGTAAATCTGGAGTCTGCGGTGCAATTGGCTAACCTTTCAAATACCATTTTAAAAACACTTCCCAGAGTATTGTAGATGCAGAAATGTGACAGCACACTTAGAATGTTAGGCTTGGGATCAGACTGGCTTGGGTTCAAATTCTTCCTCTCCCACTTACTAGTCACTCAGCCTGTGAATTTTCCTACAAGTGAGGATAATCAAACTCCCTTGAAGGGTTGCTGGGAGTTTTGAATGAGATAATGCAAAACAAGGAGCCTCTATCCATCACCCAAAGTATATTCAATAACAGTTGGCTCCCATCCTGTGGTTCGGGGCTTGCACTGCTGGGCTTTGTAGAAATATAAGCCAACACATGTGATATCCAGAAGTCTAGGATGAAATTAAGTGTTGAAGCAAGTTTGAGGAATAGGCCTATTTCCCCTCCCTTTATCCCTCCTTCCTTCTCCAGCTCTCTTTCTTTCCTTTTTCCTTAAAACAGTTAAAAGATGAGGATTTCCTCTGTATTTAGAAACTTATGATTTATATGTGCTAAATTTAAGTATAATTTTTAATATTTCTCAAGGACCAGAATATTTCCCTCCTCTTTCCCTTCCCTATCCTCCTATCTTTCTCTCTTCCTTCTTCTCCCCCCCCCCTCCTTCCCTCATAGCACTCCTTCTCTCTTCTTGGGGGCAAAGGATGGGATTAGATATAGATCCCCTTAGTACTCTAGATGGCCTCTCCAGCACCATATCCCACTTTAATCTGAGTGGCCCATTTTTTGTTTTCTTTCTTGTGGGGAGATTTATGATTCCTGTTAGCTCTGCCTTAAAAATAAGACAGCAAGGGTAAGAGGGTTTGCAATGAGTGTGTATAAGTAAAAAGAGAAGCAAATAGGCTTTGTGAGGCCTGTGACTGTCTGAAAAGACATTTCCCCCTAAGTGGAGGTGCCCCTCTTGCTATGAAAAAAGAAGAAAAAAAAGCGACAACATCTGGTGGGTTGGGCTATCTAGATCCAGCTCAGTCCAGCCAGTAGAATTGAGGTTTCTGCTTGCTAGTTGTAGTCTTTCTAGGAAAGGGGGCTGCTGCTTCTCCACCTGCCTCTCCTCTTGTAGCTCAGGGTCCTGATGGGGCTGTGACCATGTGGATCGCAGTCATGTGACATCAGGGATAGCTGGGGATTGGTGAGCCAGCCTGAGTGCGTTAGCTTCATTGCCTTTCAATGGGCAGCTTTATTGTTTTTTTGGGCATGGTTCACTAGTGCAATTAGAGAGCCAACCTTACTTGATCACTCTGATGCTTACATTTTCTGTTTAGCAAGGGCATGGCATGGAGACAAGGTGGTCTGCCAAGCCATGCAAAATTTACAAATTAGAACAGTCAAATGGCCAACAAATCTTAAGATATTTGCTTGATTCCTGGAAGTTATGCTCCAAGATATTTGCTAGATTTCTGGAAGTTATGCTCCAAGCAAAATCCATGCCAGGGTTAGGCCATCTGGCTGGCCCCCATCACTTTTGATATTTTAGAAAGCAGGAAATTCCAGTTTCTGCAAGAGAAAGTGATTTGTTATAAGTCCGGGGACTGGACTGTAGGTACATATTCTAAAGTAATGGAGAGCATGATTCATCAGCAAGAAAATAGTCGCTGGAGCAGTGGTTCAGAATTGAGGAGGAGTTGGGAGAAGTCCAGCCCCAGAGAACTGAGGGGGGCAGAGGCACTGGAAAGAAGTAGCCGCATATTACTAAGCATCTGGTGGTACAGCCCTTGTTAAGCAAAAGGGCTCCAAGGCAGGCCAGTCTGGATTTTGAGATCTTGTCACCCTCCTTGCTAACTGTGCAATCTTAGGTGAGTCAGTAAACTTCTCGGTACACTAGTTTCCATACCTACACACAGAGATGATATTTATCCCTGGAGTTTGTGAGGAGTGCATGAGTGAATCACAAAGCCCTCAGCCCAGTGCTTGGCACATCAATGGTAATTATTTTTACTCTGCCGGATCCTCATTTATATGAAGTGAGGGGATAAAAGAAAACTGATTTAAAACTTGTCTATAGAATTTCTCAAGTGCCGGGAAGCACGGTCTTTCAGTTGCTGCCTCTGGAGCACCCTTCCAGGTTTTTCTGGGAGCTGGTTCTGCTCTGCCTGGAATATTTTGCAATGGCTTTTCAAAGGGGACAATGTGCTGCTTTTGCCTGTGTAAGGCAGGCTTTCTGGGGGCAGGAGCTTTGGCTGCAGATTGCCTCAAGGGCTTTGTTAGACTTTTTTTTAATTTTTATATTTACATATTAAGCAACAGAATTATCATAAAGTGTCAAAGCTGGAAGGACTTTCCAGTTCATTGAATACATTCAGTTACAGATGAGACCTGGAGAGGGAGAAAGACATGCCCAGAGAAACAGTTGGTGGAGTGAAGGTCGGTTCTGGAGACCAGGTCTTCCTCCCTGGGACCATGATTTCTACCTCGCCTTCCCAGCAGGCCTGTAGTCTACCCAGTGACGGGAAGAGTAGGCTTGCATTAAAAGCAGGAGGAAGCGAGGGACCAGACACAGTGGGTGATGGGTGCTTATGGCTGAAGCATGTAATGCAGAGAAATGGAGAGGAACCTTGGGGTTTGGCCCCTTGGATGACCGGCAGAGCTCCTTGGACGACCTTGGACAAGTTGCCTTAATTGCATGGGCCTCAACTACTCACCTCCAAAATGGGATCACTAAATCCCATGTTGCTCACTCCCAGGAGGGAGGTAAGATATACACAAGGGAGGTACTGGAAGGCCTTTCCAAAAGTTCCATAGTCCTAGTGGGGATTTTTATTAGCATTTTTATGCTAATGCTGCAGAAACATTAAATTGTAAACTGAGGCTGGTTGTGGATTAGTTTCTCTTCTGATAATTCACAGTGATGGCCAAGATAAGAAAAGATCTGACAGTGATCTAGTTCATGACACCCACAATTTTGGATTTCATGGATTGATGAAATTACCACCAGGTGAAAATTCAGTGACCCATACAGAGTGGGCAGCTTTTGATTTTGCCTATTGTGATCATTAAAACAAAAAACTGGGATAAGAAGCAAACCAACTTAACTTCCCTCCATATCAGCTTCATCTTATAAAAGAAAGACCATTTTAATATTTTAGAAAAAATATATATTCTCAGAGCAAAGGAGTGCCCCTTACTTACAAATAATTGGCTCTGAGAAAATGGGTGACCTTGCCTTCCTTTTTGTGATTCCACTCTGGACTGGTGGAAACTATTATAGGGGCAGAACCACTAGTAAGAGATCCTGTGCTTGGCAGCCTATGATGGGAACTCTCTCCAGGTGCCAAACTAATGTTGTGGGTGTGAGTGGCTGTGTCTAGACATCCTTTGGTCCCAAGGATGTTCTGGTGTGTCTACCTGGGTGCCTATGATGACCCTACTTTCTCTTTTCCTTTTTTTCTCTGAGTTATCAGGTTATCTAGCAGTGCTTGTTAACTAGGTTCTAAAAGATTACAGAACTGATATGGGTTAATGTACTTGGGTGATAAGACCACTGGATTAGAGATGAGGACATCTGAATTCTAGGTTTGGCTCCATATGTCCTTGGACACAAAACTTTACTTCTCCTCCTTTGTGCTATGGAAAGATTATTCAGATGGTCTCAACATTTTCATCTTTATTGTGAACCTAACTCTGCTTACCAGCTCTCTGGAGTAGAGACAAATACATTAATTAGTGATTTCAATGATAGAAATTGTGGAGAGGTGAGGTGGAGAAGAAGGTCTGTTTTCCCAAATCCTCAACTGCACTATGCATTTCGGCTGCTACCAGTTATTTAATCATTACTATGTATTGGTTGCCATGTTTAGCAATTTATGGATGAGGTCTGATTGGATTATTGAATACCTTCATAAGGTAGTATTATTATTCCCATTTCAAAGATAAGGAACTGAGGCTCCTAGGTGGAATGTAGAACCAAAACTCACTTGCCTGACTCCAGATTTCAGGCCCTTAACACAACACTGCTTTGTGTTCCTGTCCATGTCTCTGCAACAGCCTATGCCAGAGGTAGAATTTCCATCAGTGGGAGAGGTAAGGGTGGTGGGAGACTTGTGGGGATGAGCTTGTGGATCACAGTCTGCTCTGCTGAATCAATTTGCAGCAGTTCCACCTTAAGCAGCCCCATCTCTGCCTCCATCCTCTTTTCTATTAGGCGCTGCCACGATGTCTCTAGCTGTTGATCAACTCTGATGTCATATGGATGATTCACTACACATTTACTCCTAACCCCAAGGTCTTACCTCCTTTAAGGGGGAATTTTCCTGGGGGAGTTGAAATGGAGTCCTAGAAGAAAAAAAAGAAAGAAAAAAGTGGTGTGAGGAAGATATTCAGTTGAAACAACTCACCTTTTTATTTTCCATTTTGTTTGTCCTTAAAAGTACTTTGCAATTTAGAATTCACCTTCCATCTGACTCTTATATTTTAAAAGAAAAATTCACTGACTTAGTTATCATGAACTTGCTCATGCATTTACTTGACAACATAACTATCAAAAAAGCAATTCAGTTACTATCCACATTTCATAGGCAAGGAACCAGAGTTAAGAGAGAAAAAATGAAAAGTTTATGGCAGCTCAAGGACCAGCATCTGCAACTCAATCCCCAGTCTAGTGCTTTTTTTTGTCACCTTCACATAAGAACAATCAAATATAAATACATGTGTTTTTTTTCCATCTTTGTTTCATCAAACAGTGAAAATAGTTTGTAAACATACTTGGGAAGGTACATTTATATCCTTCCTGTGGTTGGAAATCCTGAATTAATTGAATGTTTATGTGTCAAACATCATGAGGATTAAATAATTAAATTTTGAGTTCCTGTCCTCTGGATTTATTACCATCTTAAAATTGGATAGATTATACAAATATTTATAAACATATAAATAAGTTTTTATATTTTTATATATTTACTATATGTTTCATATTCTTTATTCTATAATATACATGAATATATTGACATAGGTAAGTAAGAGTTTGATATAAAGAGATTGTCTTCTGGAGAGATTGCCTCCTAGAGATTGCCTCCTAGACTGGAGGGTTGCAGGGGATGAAAGGGAGGTCTTATTGGAATGCACTAAGTAGGCAATAGAGCAGATGGGCACAGTTCTTCAACCCAATTAACTATACAGGGATTAACTTTCGCACACCTAGTCTTCCTCCCACTTCTTCCCACCTCGGCCATGGAAACACCTGTCAGATGTCCTGCCAAGGAGCAATGAAATGTCTTACTCATCTTTTGACCTGTCTAGGTTGGAAATCTCCTATGGTTCATTGGATTGCAATATTAATAAAGACCTAGAGACCTTAATACATAGATGAAAACACCTTCCCAATCTATCAGAGCAAGAAGTTAGCAGTTGACCATATCTTCTTATCTTAGCATTTAGGACAAACACCTAGGACCATCTGGAGTCCCTCTTTTATTCTATCACTAGAGGCCCAGCGCACAAAATTTGTGCATTCAGGAGGGAGATCCCTCAGCCCAGCCTGTGCCCTCTCGCAGTCCGGGACCCTCGGGGGATGACTGCCTGCTGGTTTAAGGTCTGCTAAGCTGGCAGGTGGACATCCCTCTCGCAGTTCTGGACCCCTTGCTCCTTACTGCCTGTCTGATCTCAGCTCCTTACTGCTCTGCTCGTTGTTCCTTAGCATTGCTGCAGAGGCAGGAGAGGCTCCTGCTCACCAGCTGTGAGCCTGGCTTCTGGCTGAGCAGTGCTCCTCCTGTAGGAGTACACTCACCACCAGGGAGCAGCTCCTGCATTGAGCATCTGCCCCCTGATGATCAGTGTGTGTCATAGCGACCAGTTGTTCTGCCCTTTGGTCAATTTGCATATTAGGCTTTTATTATATAGGTTTTCCCCAGAGGCTCTGTCTTTTGCCTTCCTGGTAAATGGATCTCTCTTCTCCAACCCAAGTGGATTGAAATGAGTTTAGAAGTCTCCTGAAGACAAAGCCCTAGCATAGTACCAATCTGGAGAAGGTGGAAGTCAGTCTAAACTTTTAGGCTTCATCTTTTTAGGGGAAAGAAAGTGAACTTGACTTGGAAGGTCCTTCCCTCTTTGCTCTAATAGTCTATGATTTTATTGTTTTAGTTGAGAGCTCTTAACTTAAATAACAGTGCTGTTCATTGTGGTCTCTCAGTTATGCTTGCAGTTCATAGGAAACCCTGAAATCACAAAAACCCCTCACAATAAAGAGCATTTCAAAATTTAATCAGCACCTCATTTACCGTCGAGCATGATGATTGGTTAGTGTGATATTCAAATGTACAAAGAAAATCATCTATGTTTGGGTTTGATACTAAGATCATTGACCTGGTTGGCTGCCAAGGAAAGTATGCAGGTACTATGAGAGAATGCCACAGCAGGGGGGGGGAAAGTGGAGCCATCCCAGGGCCACGGGCAGGTGGGAACTACTGAATGAGCACCTGGTGTAGGTCAGGCACCAAGTTAGTGTTGGAAAACATCCTGTGGATTTTATGGCTTAGATATTAAAGCAGTTATTTAAAATACACAAATAAATATATAATAAGAATTTCAAGTTGCAGTAAGAGCTAAAAAAGGAAAATAGTCTGAATATTTCAAGATTGTATAGTAGTCCCCTCTTATTGAAGGGGATACATCCTAAGACCCTCTATGGATGCCTGAAACAATGAAAAAATACTGACACCTGTAGGTACTGTGGTTTTTCTATATATACATAGCTTTTTCTTACATGATATCCAAATCGCCTGCATCACTGCTAATGACTTTGGAGCCATTGTGAAGTAAATGAGGGTGGTATGAGCAATATGATAGGGCAACAGTGGGCTTGACCACCCAGATGGCTACACAATGACTAGTGGGTAGGGAGTACACTCAGCATGGGGATGCTGGATGAAGGGATGATTCACATCCTCTGGACTGGACAGAGGAGGGTGGAGTGGGACTTAATTGAGATTTTTTATCGCGCTGCTCAGAATTTAGATCAAAGTTGACCATGGACAACTGAAACCACAGTTAAGGGTGGAGTGGGAAGGGGACTGCTGTACCTTCCAGGCATTTGTTAAAATGCAAATTATGACTTGGCAGTTTTGGGCAGAGCCTGGGAGTTCATTTCTGATAAGCTCCCTGGTGATGCTGATGCTGCTGGTCCACAGAACACACTTTGGATAGTAAGGTCGTAAAAGGCAATATCTGGGAGTTGGACTTCATTTATAGGAAGTTAGAGGAGGCCTTTGTCACTTAAAGGCTTTCTGGTTTCCTAATTTCAGACAGAAGAGTCAGAATCAAAGCTTCTTTGTACAAGAAAGAGTCCTGTGGCTTAAACCTTGGATGCCCAGGACATCCAAGATAGGAATGTGGCTATTCTTGTTTTAAAAAGCTCTTCGGACAAAATCTTCTACTTCTCCTGGTTGCCCATGGTAGAAAAGATCAAATAATCAGAGCCAGAGGGGAGCCTAGACATTTTTCAATTCATCAAGCTATTTTTACAGAAGAAGAAAATGAGAGACTCTTGAGTCAGTTAGTGGCAGATCTGAATCAAAGTTCTCTGGTGCTCTTCTTTCCACTTTCCCAGTAGTAGTGACTATCCTCAGAAGCCAATGATAGGAAAGCTCATTCTACCCTCCTCTCCCTTCCCATTTGGAGATAGAAAAGCAAGATACACAGGAATGATGGCTTTTAAAATTGCTGAGGACTGTATGTGCCCTGGGCACTATGCTAAAGGCTGTCCATCAGTTTCTCTTTGGCAGGTGCCTCTCAGTCCTGGAATTCTCTCCCATCTCTTGCCTGGGGATCTGGATCCTGGGGTTCTGGGGAATGTGAACCATCTTGCTCACTGACTTGACTTTGCGGGGGAAAGTGCATAGACTAGACACAGGCACAAGCCAATGGACCCTCTCAGGATGTCATTCTCAGTTTCACTGAGTAGCTAAGGAAACTTTATCTCCATGGTTACCAACCAGCTATACTTCTTTCAGTGTGTACCTCTTTTGGCTTAGACTCTGGGTATCTGATGGGTGTCTCCAACATTTCTGTACATGGTGGGAGGAACTGTCACATTTAACCTGCACATCCAGGTGAAATGACCCAATCTCAATCTTCCCTACCGAGGACTCTGTGTCCTCATTTCCTTTAATCACCGTGATTACAGGGCTAATTATCCTTCCCTCCACTGGGTTGTTGCAGGCATGATAAAATGTTTGTGAATGCTTGAAAATAGTACCTATTTTGGCTACTCTCTTGATTCTAATGATGTGTTTAATTTGTTTCAATACCTTGAAAGGCCCTTTCCTTTCACAGAGCAATGCTGTGCAGGGATACTCAGCTCCCAAATTTGCTTTTGACAGAATATGCTCTCTCTCATTGAAAATGGCCAAAGGGGATTCTACATCCCTTTCTTTGCTGGCCTCATGCTGTCTTGTAAGGTGGGCCACAGAGATCTTTGCCAGAAATGCCTCTTATTTTCAAGTTAACATGACTAAACACTTAATCCTCTGTGGTTAAATGCTTTATTTTATTTGGCCTTTACTCTAAGAGTTAGGGACTAACCAAGACTTAGAGAAGTGACTTAATGATTACAGAAGACCTCACAGATAGTAAATAGTGGGGAAAGAATTAAAACTCGGGTGTGTTGACTTGGATGGATACCACAGTGTCTTTATAGAGTAGGGCAGGATTAAGCTGAGGCAGAAAATTCTCTTGAGACTTTATGAGAAAGTGGATGGAGATAATAGAAAATCCCTAGGAGAAAGAAGATTTTTATTAGCAGTCTTTGTCTTGATATGGTTAAAGTGGGAATTGAAATAGAGTGGCTCCAAGCAATGATTCTCCCAGTGAGGGTTTTGTTCAAATGCTGGTTTTAGTTCAATAGGTCTGAGATGGGTCCTTAAGCTTTGCATCCCTAATGGGCTTCCGGGGATGCCAGTCTGCTGAGCCATGGGCCATGCTTTGAAGAGGAAGGGCTTAAAGCCATCACTCAATAGGCAATTAGTACAACTGAGGTCTTCCTTTTCCAAGGAATTGGGAATGGCTATCGGAGGCTGAGTGCGTGTTTAGGAAAACTTCTTCCTAGACTGCTGATGGGGATGGAATCCTATCCTCTCCCCTTCCTCCTTCAATGCTTCTTGCCACCTAGGTCTACTTCCTGCTGCCCCCCTGTGCAGCCTGACTGACTGCATTTTTGGCTCTCCATTACTCTCCTCACACCTGGGCTTGCTTTCCTTTGGAATTGCACCTCTGCTCACTCTTTCCCTCACCTGGAATACCCTGTCCCAACTCCACCTGCGCCATCCTTCCAATGGAGAGCT